CCGAGCGAGCGGCAGGGCGCCAGGGCGGCGCGCGCGCCGCGCACCGCGAGATGCCCACGCCCCAGGCGAAGCACAGCATGCCCAGCATCCACGCCTTGGCCAGCACGTTGACCAGATCCGACCGGAACTCCTGCCAGAAGGAGAGGCGGTGCGGCAGCGCCGGTTGGCGCCAGTGCGCCACCCAGATGAGGTAGCCCGAGGCGTAGACGGCGAGGTTGAAGCAGATGGAGGTGTGGCCTGCGGTACGAGGGCGGTACGGGGGCGGTACAGGGGCGCGGTGCAGGGGCAGGGCAGTCGCAGGGATGGCGGCTGCCCGCCGCCCCTCACGGCGCACCACCCGTCCCCACACGCGCGCCCACCCACCACCTGCGGCCACGCCACGCCCACCCCCCCACCGCACCGCATCCCGCGGCGGCTGCCAGCCAGGCGCCCAGCTGCCTAGCCGCCCCACGCCCACACCCACACCGCACCGCACCCCACGGCAGCGGCCAGCCAGCCAGCCAGCCAGCAGCCCCACCCGCCCACCTGAGGGGAAGGCCAGCCGCCCCTCGTCCACCTGGTCGTGGTCGGGGTTGGTGCAGGGGTACTGGATCTCGGGGTTTCCGATGGCGGAGGTGATGTTGGAGAAGGTGAACACAAGCCCTTCGGGCACGTCGGGCTGGCAGCGGGCCAGGAAGTTGGGGCGCAGGCGGCCCACCATCACCTTGAACACCTGGGACAGCAGGAGGCCCATGATGAAGGACTGCGGTACAAAGCGGGGGTGGGAAGAAAGCACGCGCAGGAGGAAAGGGCGGCTGGGAGGTGCGCGCCCGCGCCTGCGGGGGCGTGTGCTAGCTGCCTGGGCTGGCGCGAGCGCCGCTGCTGCGCAACTCCCTTGGTTGCCTGCCCACCCCCGCCCAGCAAAACTGCGGCGGCCCTGCCGCCCAAGCATAGCAGAAGGCCGCTTCGTACCAACCCTCCCGCACCTCCCGCACCCTGCGCACTCCTGCACCCAGCCCAGCCCAGCCCAGCCCAGCCCAGCCCAGCGGCCTCTGTGCCCGCCCAGCAGCCGCCTGCCTGTACGCCATCCAGGAAGAAGTAGACGAAGGAGGAGGCGGCGGCGGTGATGGAGGCGTGGGTGCGCTTGGAGGCCACCAACTCACCCACCCCCACCGTCAGCAGCAGCATCATGAGCGGCGCAAACAGGGCCACCCAGGAGGGGATGGTGTCCAGCTCGGAGCCGATCTGAGGGGCGGGGCGGTTGGGGTGGAAGGGAGGCGGCGTGGCGGGAGCGGCGTGGCAGGGCGGGGCGGGGCGGAAGCCACAGGCGACTGCCACGCACGCCACGCGGCATGCTGGCTGTGCAGGCCGCGGGTGCGCCAGGGAGTCGGGCACCGCTGGCCGGCGGCCCGGCAGGCTGGTGGGAGCGAGCGCCGCGTCCTCGGCGGGCTGCTCGAATGGGCTGCTGCCTTCCTTTCCTCACCGGGTAGGAGATGCGCGCATCCCACAGATAGTAGGGCACAGTGTGCGGCGTGGCGACCAGCGTCACCACAATGACGGCCACGATGATGCAGGCGGTTAGCAGGAAGTTCGCATAGTCTTGCCTGCGCCACGCGCGACGCGACAACAGGCGGTAACGAGCGCGGCGCAGCCAGCAGGCGGCGGCGGGCGGCGGGCCGGCCCGGCTGCCGGGGGCGCCCACCTGCCCCACAGCTTGCGCCACTCGATGTCTCGGAAGCCACCCCACGGGTTCTTCAACGCCATGGCGGAGGGAGCGGGGATGATGTAAACGAAGTTTGTGCGTGTCCCGCCGCCCCTACTGCCCGAGCCCAGCTGACTGCACGGCTGCTTGATGGAGCGAAGAACAGCAACAGCCGGGCCTGTCGACAGTCTCTCGTCACATGGCGCCCTGCCACCTGGCCAACACATTGCGGTGGTTGTGCGCTTCAAGGGACCTCTCCCTGGCTGTGGTAAGGTGGCGCCCTCCCTCTGCAAAGGTTCACAAGTGCTGCTGCCAAGGGGGCCAGGGAGTTGCTGCAGTCAGATGTCATGATGCCTAGCACATGGGGCAGCACGCCCCGGCGGGTGCTTAATTCTCAGGTCCCCTTCCCAGTATACTGTACAGAGGAGAAAATGGTTCAGCAGCATCATGTGGGCGGGGCTCAGGTGTTTGTGGGAGCATTCAACAATCCCTGTTCCACTCTTAGCCACCGTCACGACAAGCCGGCTCACACGAGGGTGCGCCCGCTGGATTGCCCTGCATTTCGTGGCCGCTATGCTCACCATGGTGGCTTACACAGGCTGGCTATCAAAACTGGTGCTTTTTTACAAAACGGGTGCTGGTGCTGCGCCTGCTGTGGTCTGCTCTCCTGGGGTACCGCGCACATCGCAGTGGACCCAGAGCCTGCTTCAAGCACGCGCGTGCCAGTGAGCTGCTGCCCTGCCATGAGTGCCAGGAGATGCTGCGCAGCACATATCTGTGCACAGCATTGAGGGGCAGATGCCACTATCTCATGCACCCACCTGTGGCACTAGCTTGCAATGGACCGGCCCCCACTGGGGCGGCTGCCCAGCCAGCGCTCCTGCTGCCGCAGCCGCTCCACGCTGCCGCCGTCTGCCTCGACGCCGGCCGTGGCAGCACTGGCGGCGCTGCCGGAAGCTGGCGGGCTGGGGCAGCAGGGGGGTGACTGGTAGAGCTGGCTGTCGCTGCCCTCTGGCTCCGAGCCCCCGCCCGGGCTCCAGCTGCCGCCAGGCTGCAGCTGCCAGTCCTGCTGCTCATGCGTCAGGTGGGCCAGCAGCGCCACAGGCCGGCTGCGGCCCGCGCTGCCAGGCGCCGCGCCGCCAGGCGAGGCTGCCGCCGTGGGCCCGCCACGGCTGCCGCAGCTGCCCGGCTCCCCGGCACGGCGCCAGCGCACCGCGGTGGGCGTGCCGGAGGAGCTGCCCCCGCTGCCGCAGCTGCTGCCGCCGTCGCCGGCGGCGCCGCCACCGCCCTCGGGGCTGTAGTGCAGGTGGCGGGGGGCTGGCCCCGGGGATGCCAGGGAGGCTGCCGCCGCTGGCGCAGGCCGCCCGCCCGACGCCGTGCCGCCGGGGCCGGTGGAGAGGGTGCGCAGCGGGGCGGCGCCGCTGCCGCCGCGCCCGCCAGAGGAGCCTCCGCTGGCCGGGGTGAAGAAGCGGCTGTTGGCGGGGCTGGGGCTGGCGGGGGGCGTGCCGGCCAGGCTGCTGGTGCAGCTGCCGTAGCTGGCCTGCTCCGAGGGCGTCAGCTCTATGGGGTGGGAGGCCAGGCGGTAGTGGCCCGACACCCAGCGCAGCGCAGTGCCCAGCACACGGCGCAGCCCCCTGCCGCCGCCGCCGCTTGCACCAGGCAGGCACGCCTCTCCAAACAGATGGCCGCCCAGGGCGCTGCCGCTGCTCTCCGCCCCATCCCCCTCCTCCTCCTCTCCTCGCTGCTGCGTCCAGCGGGTGTATCGATCGGGGCAGAAGACATCCACCCGAGAGCAGTCGCGGCTGAGGAAGGGGGAGGAGTGGCGGCGCAGGCGCTGCAGGGTAGCTGACAAGTCGCCAGGCTGCTGCTGCTGCTGCTGCTGCAGGCTGCTGGCGCCGCTGCCTTGCCAGCCTGCCCCCGGCGACAGCGCTGCAGCCAGCGCCGCAGCCAGAGGGCTGAGGTCCTGCTGGCCGCCCGCTGGCGGCGCCTGCGGGGTGCTGCTGCCAGAGGCGGGGCGCTCGGGGCTGGCACCCAGCGCTGCGGGTGGGTGGCGGCCTAATGGCGGCAGGGGCTGCAGGGAGACGGGGCTGCCTGGCTGCGCCTCGCCCGCCGTGCCTGCCGCGCCAGCCACCGCCGCCAGCGGTTCCGCGGCAGGCGTGGGGCCGGTCAGAGAGATAGAGCAGGAGACGGTGAGCGATGGGGAGGAGGCCAGGTTGGGGCTGCAGGGGGTGGAGAGGAGGAAGGAGCCAGGCGGGGCAGGGCAATGAGCGGCAAAGGGCGGTGAGTGGTGGCAGGACGTTCATGGCCCAGCGGGGCAGGCGGGTGGGCTACGGCATGCCACACCCCACCCCACCCCACCCGCCGCACCTGTCGCTTGGAGAGGAGCTGAGCAGCCAGCTGGTGGCCTCGGCGCTGCTCAGGTGTGGCAGCAGCAGGGCGGTGGGGCTGCTGGGGCCCTGCCTGCTGGGGGAGGGCAGCCCCAGGGCTGGAGCCCCAGAGCTGACCTCGTCCTCGTCCCCGCCGCCGCCTGACGGCTGGGAGCCGCTGCGCACAGGTACGGCAGGAGAGCGGCGCAGGAGGACGGAGGGTCAGCAAGGGACGGGTGTGATGGGCGGGCGGTGTCCCCAGCCTGCGAACCTGCGGCAACCAGCGCAGCGCTGCGGGGCCTCACCTGTGCAGCCAGCTGCTGCTGTCGATGCCCGCTGCGGCGACCGTGGAGTGGAAGCTCGACAGCAGCAGGGCGTCAAAGGCCAGGGCGCTGGGCTGCGGCCGGCTGCAGCTCCTGGGCGCCTCGGCGCCGGGGCTCTGCCGCTGCCGGTTTCGGGGCGCATTCTCTCTCCCTGCACCCCGATGCAGGCCGCTGTCGCTGCTGCCGCTGCTTCTCCTCCCACCAGCCGCCTTGGGGCCGCCGCCAGGGCCAAAGCGGCCCGGGTCCTCGCTTGCCGCCGCCCGGTGCAAGGAGCCGCCGCTGCCGCCGCCAGTCCCCCGCCAGCCAGCCGCCTTGGAGCCGCTGCCAGGCCCATTGCGGGTCGCAGCCTGCGTAGAGACTGGGGGAGCAATCTCAGCAGGGCAGGCGGCCGGGAGAGGCAGCAGCGCACGTTGTTGTGAGGCAGCCAACGTCGCTCCCGGCGCAGTAGCCGCCCACCTGCTGTTGCCGCTCTACCCAAGATCTCGAGGGCATTGCAGCGCCAATGGGATCCCCGCCACTCCGACAGTCTCTGCTTCGCCAGCCGATGTCGACACTCACAAGCTCACGCAAAGTTCTATGGCACGGATCGCACCGCGTTGTTGGAATGTTTCCATCGGCAAGCACGGCACAACAAAAGTCGCCAGCTGTTGGCATGCGCCGCCAGCTGCACCGCCGCCAGCTGCACCGCCGCCGCTCATCAGCCTGCCTTTCTGACGGCAGCACTACTTTCTGTTGCAGGTCAGCAGGGGTGGCGGGCAATATCAGCGTGGCCATTGCCAGTGGGAGATTTCCCGCACAGACAGAATGAGCGCCTCGAAAACAGCCGGTGCAGCACAAACACAGAGAGATGGGGGGGCAAGTACCGACAGACTGTAGAGGAGACCGACAGTGAGAGGGGGAGAAGGGACCGCAGGCGGCCGTGCGTCAACACACCACCAGGAAAAGCAGCTATGCATTCACTTTGGAGCCGAGAGCTGCAACACATTGCATCTGTCGCCACCCAAGCGTGGTTCGTTTCTGTTGGCTTTGCGCGCCGCCCTCAGGGCAGTTTCCGCGCAACCCTCACGGCGATTTGGAGCAGGAGCCAGCCGCAGGCCAGCTCCTGACGCAGCCCTCAGGGCGGAGGACCCAACCGGGACCATCCTTTCCTTCACTCCACGCTGGGCTTGGCAGCTGGGTTGAGGAACTTCTTGATCTCATCGTACAGCACCTGCAAAGACAACGCACAGGGCAGTACAGGACGTCATGCGCGCTGCACCAAGCCGCGTGGCCGCAGGCAGGCCGCCCCGTCGGCTGTGCAGGCGGGCCAGCCCCGCCGGCTGTGTCTCCAGCACGAGGCGGCTGCCGCAAAGGCCGCGGCACATGCGCCGCTGCCCGCTGCCGCCTGCAGCCCAGCCAGGCCCCACGCCGGGCCCCGCACGCTCACCAGCACGAAGGCGCCGCCCGCGCCGCGCAGCACATTGGACAGCGCTCCCTTGAAGAAAGCGCTCATGCCCTCGTTGGCCGCCACCTTGCGCCAGCAGTCGATGGTGCCGTTGTACTGGCGCTCGCCGCCAGACTGCGGGCGGGTGCAGGCGGGGGGAGGTGAGGCGAGGGCTGGGGCCTTCCAGGAACGGCCGGCCAGTGTGCGGCCGCCGGCACAGCACACAAGCCAACAAAGGAGGCCACCCAACCACTCGCCTGCGCCCTGTCCTGCCCTGCCCTGCCCTGCCCACCACACCCGACCACCCCAGCACCCCTCTCCAGCCCCCTCACCTGCATCATCAGCCTACGGCGCACGGTGTCGAAGGGGTAGGACAGCACGCCGGCCGCCGCGGTCACCGCCTGCGCCACCGCCCACTTGGCGAAGAAGTTGGCGTTGCGCTCATCCTTGAACAGCACGCCCTTGGCGGTGTCGTACAGGCCAAAGTAGGCGCCGCGGTACACGATGATGCCCTGCGGTACAGCGGTACGTGGTGGGGGCGGGGCTCAGCGCGGCCAGGCATTGGTGCGAGCACATTGGTGCAGGCACACGCACGGCGGCGACAGGCAGGGGCGGCACGGGCGCCCGCCGCTCAGCGCTCGTATCCCCGCCCGCCCACCTGCACGGACACGCCAAAGCCCTGGTACAGGCCGATGGGTCCGGCGCGCTTGGCGGTCTTGGAGATGCAGTCCACCAGGCCGGTGAACTCGCGGCCCTTGCCGGAGCCGACGTCGGCGGCCTGCGGGCACAGCGGCGCGGCGTGGTGGCGAGCGCTCAGCGTGAGAGGGGCACGGCGTGGGGAGGCGCCCTGGTCAGCCGGCCGCGGCGCCGCCCCTCCCGTCCCTCCTCTGCCACCCCCCATCGTCTTCTGCCCTCTTGCCCAGGCCCCAAGACGTCGCCCTCTCCACGTCCCTCCTGGACATGCCTCCCCCCCAATACGCACACACACACCCCTGCCCGCTCACCAGGCGGGTACGGGCAAAGTCGAGTGGGTAGACGATGAGGAGGGAGCCGGCGCCGGCCAGGCCGCCCGAGGCCAGGTTGACGGCGAAGAACCGCCAGAAGTCGGTCTTGGAGTTGTACTTGGGGAAGATGCCCTTGATGGTGTCCTTGAAGGCAAAGTTGAAGGCCTGGGGGGAGGGGAGGGGAGGGAGGGAGGGGACGCAGCAAGCAAGTTGAGGGGGCTGTGCATTTGGATGCCAGGCAAGCGGCAGCGGCGGGTGGCAGTGGAGCGGCGAGGCAAAGGAAATGCAGAGCCCCAGGCGCGGGTGCTGCCGGCCAGCCCGGCCCGGCCCCTGGAAGCGGCTGCGGGGCGGCTGCGCACCTGGGTGGGGAAGTAGCGGACCACGTTGGCCAGGTTGCCGCGCCAGAAGGAGGCGATGCCCTGCTCAGACGACACGCGGGTGAAGCAGTTGATGATGCCGGTGTAGCGAGGCACCTGCGGGGAGGAGGATTGGAGGGCAGGGCAGGGCCCGGGGAGGCAGCAGGCGGTGTGAGAGGGGCGGCGCATGCACGCAGGGCGCATGCAAGCGTGCGCACGCGCCGCGAGCGGCGCCTGGCGCCAGCAAACCGGCCGCAGTGCCGTGTCCCGTCCCGGGCCAAGCCGCCCTGCTGGCGCCCGCTGGCTCCAGCGGTGGCCGCCGCTCCGGCCCCCCCGCCCGCTGCCGACCCCTCACCTCGCCCGACTTGATCTTGGGGTTGCTGTCCTGCGTCTGCAGCAGCAGCTTCACGCGCTCGATGGGCGCCACCACGGTCTTGGACAGCGCGCCAGCCACGCCGCCGGCCGCCAGGTCGGTGATGAAGCCCATCGCGTTGCTCTCCCTGCCGGGCGGGTGCCAGACGGCCGCGGGCGGGTGGTCAACAGGCGGCAGGGCCCGCGGCGGCAGCGAGGCGCGGCGGGGAGGGCTTGGCAGCGGCCACATGGCGCGCGCTGGGCGGCGGCGGAGCAGGTCAAAGATGGGCATGGGCGGCGCCGGGGCTGGCGGCCCGCCCGCGCGGCCTGGCGCGGCGGCGGCGGCGGCCAAGGTCAGCCAATCGAGGCTGCTCTTCTCACTTGGCGGCGGGGACCATGAAGGAGGGGGTGCCCTGCGGGGCAGCCGCCATGTTGGTCCGCATCAGCCCGCTCAGCCCCGCCTGCTGGTACAGCTGGGAGGACAGCATCTTGTCCGAGGTGCTGCTGCAGAGATGGGCCAGGGCAGCAGGGGCATGCAAACAGGTGAGGGTGCGAGGGTCGTCGATGCTGGGCGGCTGGAGGGTCTCCAGGCCCGTCCAGCGCCACCATGGCCCCCAGGACGCCGGCCTGAATCAATCTGAGCCCAGCAGCCGACCCCCAGGGTTTGGGTTCCACTGGCAACCCCTCCCACTGGCTGGCAGGGCCGATGCCCGCTGCTAGGTTCCCACCTCCTTCTGGCGACCACCAGACCACCAAAGATGGGAGGAGAAGGAGGCCCGGGGCGCCTGGGGCCTGGGATTGAGGGGCAGTGAGTCAGAGAAGAAAAAACAGCCAGGGGGGCAGGCGGCCGAGGGACCGCCGTGCAAGCTGCCATCGCCAATCTGATGGACGTCAATTGATTGTCAGAGGCACTGGGGTGCCGCCATCTGCGGTGGATCACCCACGGTCTTTGTTTGCTCCCTCTGCCGCTGCAAGCGAGCCCAACCCTTGCTGCCGACAATGTCAGAAGTGCTGGAAGGCGCGCAAATTGCCAGATCGCCGGTGCCCGTGTCTGGCAGGCTGCGCTGCCACTGTGCTAGCGGCTGGCGGCAGCGCCGGCACACAAACACACGCCAAAGCCTGTGTGGCCTCTCGGACTGCTTTGCTGGTCCATCCCACCACCAACACACACTTCGCCCCACCTCCTGGGTATCGAGTCGTGATCCCCCAGGGCAGCCACAGGCCCACAGCGGCGGGCGCCACGATGTTTGTTGTTGCCGCAGCTTGCAGGCATGGCCGGTGTTGGCAATTTGGCAAGTGGGTGCTGTGTCTCAGCAAGACAGGTGCAGCAGGCAGGGCCGGGCAGAATAAAGCCCAGCGGGGAACTCAGCAGGCAGGGGGCGGCGTGATGACGGCCAAGAGCAGGACGCTAGAGCGGGGGGGGGGAACGCTACAGCTGAACACAACGTTGCCAGGAAGCGGCAGGCGACGGGGAGCAACAACACCCTACTGAAAGAGAATGCGCTACAGGGTACATGTTTGAAGTGCGGCAACAAAATGTGGGTGCATGCCCTCAGATGGGAGGGCGTCGTGTGGGCACGTGGGGACCTCATGCTGCCCGGGGGGAGCCCCAGGCAGGCAGAGGGCTGCTGCGCAGTGCCGAGGGGGTAGAACGTCATTGTAGGCATGGGGCGGTCGGGTTCAGCGCACACAGAGCGACAGCTGTTCCAGAACCCAGAGTGGGGCAGGGAAGCTGCATGCAAATGGGCGAGTTCGTTCCAAAAGAGCGCCGACAGGAGCAGCGGCGCGACAACAACAACAACAAGAGCTTGAGCTTGCCGGAGCCGCCCCGCCAGGGAGGGAGGCGCCCGTGGGCCAGGGGGCGCGGCGACTGGGACGCCGCGCGGCGGGGCAGCGGCAGGTGCTCAGCAGAGGGGCGGAGGCCGCGCTGGGGCGGCTGCGATGCCCCGGCCAGGAGCCTGGCGCCCGTCGCCGGCTCGCGCCCAGGCTCGCACCCTGGCTCACACCCTCACCAGCGCGGGCTCTAGCAGCACCACCCTCTCCATCACTTCAGAGTCAGCAGCCTGCACCGCCGCCAGCCACCAGCAGGCGGGGGTGCGTCAGGCACGGGCAGGGCAGAGCGCAGGCAAAGCGTGCGCCCGCCCGCGGCCCGCCGCCCGCGTCGCTGCACGTGCGCGCGGCAGGCAGGCGCGCGCCCGCTGACCAGCACAGCGCAGCACAGCACAGCGCGGCGCAGCGCGGCGCAGCGCAGCGCAGCGCCCGCCTCACCAGCTCTCCCCTCATCATGACCTCAGTCAGCTGGCCCAGCAGGCCGCCCTTGGTGGCCTTGACCATGCGCTTCACCTCTGCAGCCAGGCGGGCAGGCAGGCGGGCGGGCGGGCACACAGCTTCAGGCGCTAAGCGGCTGCCGAGGCGGGCGCAGGGTGCGGCGCGGCCAGCTCCACGGCTTGCGTGTGCGCGTGGGCCCGCCGCAGCCGCTCACCAGCGGCGCGCTGCGCCCCGGAGCCACCAGCCGGCCGGGCAGGCCCTCCCGGGCCGTGCCCCAGAACCCCAGAGCCACACACAGGCCCACACCCCACGCCCCCCGCTCCCCCGACGCGGCGCGGCCGCTCGCTCGCCTTGCAGCGTGGAGTGGTTGGGGTCGAGCTTGTTGGACCAGCCCTCCAGCACCATGGTCGTCACCACGGTGGCGCAGATGTGGCCCGGCATGTTGACCGCGTGCGTGCGCACCAGCTCCAGCACCTCGGCCAGCGCGTCGGCGCCGTGGGTGGCGCCCGTGGCCGCAGACTCAGCGGTCAGCCGCTCGAAGAAAGAAGCCACGTCGGACACAAAGGCGGCGGGGTCGGGGCAGCTCTGCTCCTCGCCTGCGGCACGGGGGCGGGGGCGGGGCGGGGGCGGGGGCGGGACGGCGAGCGGGGGTGAGGGGACGTGGGAAGGGGAGGGGGCGGGGCGGCGAGACGCCGGGCAGCGGGCTGTGCCGAGGGGTGTGCCGAGGCGCCCATACGCCCGTGTGCCTGGCCCCTGGACAAGCTTGCACTGGGCCCTTGCCCTGCCGCCACCCACACACCCACCCCATCCTCAGCCCACCCACCCACCCGCCCACCCACCCGAGAAGCGCAGCGCCCAGTGCGCCAGCCGCGAGCCGTCCATCTCCGCAAACGCCTCAAACAGGCCAAACATGTTGCGCTGGTCCTCGGCTGCGGGAGGGGTGGGGCGGCGGGGCGGGCGCGTC